CAAATGAGAGAGGTGTCAATTAAATAATTAATCCACTTGCATGAAAATGTCTGACTTGTAAATTATTGGTCCATGGTGTGGCCACTTGTTTGAGATTTATCATTTATTTTATTATTTATTTGGCCCTTACGGTGAAAAACTCTACACGAGGGTCGAACAATGGTCAAGTGATTAAGACTATTTGATCATAAAATAGTGTACTTATAATAAGATAGTATGATATTTAGCCGTAAACTAAAACTGCAATCTATTAAGAAATTATCATATTCTAATAAAAAAATTCTAATCATAAAATATTATAATTAAAATTTCAATAAATAATCTATCTGTATGGCTTCATTGCAAAATTCATTTTCCAATGGAGATCAACACTAAATATTGAGTTAGAACTTTTTTTTTTCAATTGAAATTGGATGATTTTTAAACAACTATATTTCCAACCGCATAAAAAAATGTTGATGGAATCATCAATTTCAAACGAAAATTCCAATCAAAAACTAATTTCGAAATAAATTTTTTTTAGAATTCTTGCCAGACTCCGTCGTGAGAAAAATCCAATGGGCGGAATAGCTTTAGAACATTCTTTGAATATATTTTTATAGTTCCATTAACATATATTTCAATTGGAATTTCACTATTTTATTCTAGCTATGCTTATTATGATTAGTTGAGTCAAACTCGATCTCGGTAGAACCAAGCTCATGAACTTCTCGATTTGTTTAACATCTCTGCTCACAATCTAACTAAAAGACTTTGATTTTTATCTTGATTCTTATTAAAAATCATGTTGGGGAAAGGACTTGAATATTAAATCCAAAGAGGATCAATAATTAATATGTTCATGTATCCAAGTTAGAGAAATTCAAATGCTACATTGCCAACCTAGTGTACAACTAGGTTGACAACACAAGTGAAAACATCCACTTGAATATTTTTTTTATTTTATCTTTTTGAATATTTTCATTTGTATAGTCAACCTAGTTACAATATATCATTCTTTCATCCAAATAAAGTATCAAGGGTCTGAATGCGTAAATTGGAATTATTAAATTAAGCAAGTTGAAATAAAACCCTAGTGGTCCATACATACCTTTTTCTTAGCATGTTTGTTTGAGTCTTTTCTCATTCTATTGCCCCACATTTGAATTGGGACAGCGATAATTTTGCTGGAGAAAGTGCTGAGAAAAGAAAGCAATAGGGGAGGAAAAAAAAGTATTTTTTTAGTCATTGCAAAGCTTGAGCAATGCAAATAATAATAAACTATATTTAGCATCAGGACTATGATCATTTCTAGAAGCAATTTAATTATTGAAACATGTTTAGTAATCTAAAGAGGGAATACATATTTAATAATCAAACCTGGATTTGTATATTCCTCCCACCAAGATTTTTAAATCAAGATAAATGTAGGACTATGATCCACCCTTGCAATATTCTAATACCCAATCAAATAATACAAATATTTGTCATTAGGTAGTGGTAGTCCTCTAAACGAGTCAAGTTGAGTTCAAGCTCGAGCTCGAGTCCTTAACAAGCTGAGCTGAGATCGGCTCGTTAAACAAACGAGCCAGAAATCGAGCTCCAGATCAACTCGTTTATCACTATTAATGAGTTGAATTTGAGCCTTTACAAGTGGATCTCGAGTTTTAACGAGTCGAACTATATAAAAATTCTCTTTTCGAGTCTTAACGAATCTTATCGAGTTGAGCTTTAACCAAACGAGCTTTAAATTTGGCCCGAACTCAAATCGAAGTCAAATCAAGCAGAGTCAAGCTTGTTTAATTTAACAGTACTATTAAGTGTTAGTTATTAGACAGTTCTAAGGTGTTAGACAGATCAAATGTTACTAGATAGATAGTTCTAACTTCTAAATGTTAGACACATCCTCCTCTCATAGTAAATAAAAAATATATAATTGAGATCTCATATTTATATATAATTATTTTTTAACAAAAATTTATAACATATATGAAAGTAAGTCGAAAAAGCATACCAACCTAGCACAAATAAATTATGCCAACTTTTGCCAACAAATTTGTTTTGATGATAGGCATGGTAACATGTGGCAAATTTTAAATACACCTGTGTGTTCTACACATTTCTGATAATAACTCAGACTAATCATTCAGTGAGCCCAAACAAAAGATGGGCCCTACGACTACAACAGTCCAGATCAATTAGGGTATGGGCCCATGTCCGGTAGGTCCAACAAAACCCACCACCGATCTTCATGGCGCCAGCTAATGCCTATCTTATATTTATCCTAATACTGTTTCACCCAAAAAACGAGGATCAAGCTGATTTCCGGCATGTGGCCCCCACCACCTGAGCCAACACCTGGAAGCTGATAAGGTATGGGCCCCCACACGGCCCAATTACCCGAGCCCATCCCACTGGAGCGTAGAAGGTCACTCACTAATAGTAGCATGCAGTCAAAAATAGAATTACCATACCACATAGAGAGCCCTTACCTTAACTAACAGCTCCACACAAGTTCTCATATTGCAAAGGGGTCCCCAACAAATCATATAATGTCCAAACATCATCACTTGGTCAAATCTACTTTGATGATTATTTTCAGACTCAGCAAGATTAAGGTATGTTCCGTAAATCTAGCCAAAAAATTATTTGAAAGTTGATAAAGTTAATTAATAGTTTATAAATTGATTTCTGAGGTTATAGTTAGTTTGAGAAAACTGGTTGATAAACAAGCTTAAATAAAAGTTCCAGCAACATTTTTTAAAAACCACATGCAAAATTTTAATTATTTTTCATGTGATAAGTTACCTAAAAAAACTCTTGAGATAAACTCGAGCTTAAAAAAAATATCCTACCAAACCAAGTTTATTTGAATACAAAAAATTTGTAAAATGAATTAAATAAAATATAAGCTACTTTATGATGCTTACCAAAATACAGTTTGAATAAGCGTTAAATGATTAGACAACCGCACCTTTTATATTCATATGTTGTCATACTATAAAAAATAATATAAATAAAAGTATGATAGGTCGATTCGTTCTAATGAATGGATTGTATTATACAAAAAATTGTGTTGTAGAATTCTATCTCAAAATAGTTCCATATATAATAACAAAGTGAGAAATCATACAATTTTCAATATTGGAGAATGTAAACTTACATAGAAAACTAAAGCAAATTATTAGTATGCATTAATGCATGACACCAATTCTTTATAAAATAGGTAACACATCATATAAACTCATTCAAAGTCACATGTATTTCTTGGTTTACCTCCGAAAAGAAAAAATAAGAACTAATGCACAAATCAAACATAAAATTGAGAAAAATCAAAATGTAATGACTCTTTCACAAGACAAGCCAAAACACTTCCAATTGTTAAAAGATATTTTCTTCCCCAAAAACTAATTTCTCCTAATAATCACACAAAAAAAAAA